ACACACACAGAGAGAGAGAGAGAGAGAGAGAGAGAACCTCTAACATATTCCAGAATCTTTTGCATTTAGAGAAATCTGCAATGTTATCCAGGTTCTGGCATAGGACCCACTCAGAGCTTTACATGACAGAGGGAGCTATGGGAAGAAGCTGTGTCCATTTCCCAGTGCTCTTCTGGTGGGCACTAAGTCAGGGGCGTTCAGTTCACTGGTGGCAGCCATTGCCAGGATTCTACCTTCCAGAGCATGGAACAATGATGAGCTGCTGCACTGGATGGTCTTCCAACACAGTCCCATGGAGTCACTTGGCACTGACCTTGGCTTCATCCCCCAATGCTCCTAAAGATCTTGTAATCTCTCAGTTATCCTGCAATCAGCTGCCTAGCTTTAAAGGAGCTGGAATGCCTTCAATTTTCTGCAACAAAGAACCGTGGCTAATAATGTGTTCCATGAATGGAGACAGAATCCAGACTTTGAAGGAAATGGGAATCTGGAATAATGCTATTTTATAGGTTTGGAAGTCAGTGAGGAGGAGTGAGCACTGCAGAATAATGCACACGTACTACACAGCATGCAGGAGCCAAGCAGTTACCATTTTACTCCTGTACCAATCATGTCAACTTGCAAGTGTCAAGTGCTAAAGGGATTTTGGCTTCCAACCACTCCTGATGGATCTATGAGTCCATTCTAAGGCTAGTTCCTTAGTTCCTTAAACGTAGCATTGAGATACTGAAAGATTAGAAGGACTCACACAAGAGAACAGTTAAGCCATCTCAAATGGATTTGTCACACCCCGAGGAGCCTGAGGTGGGAGCCAACACTAAGGCCTTGAAAAGTATGAAGAGGCAGTCCCTCTTTGAGCCCAATCCACTCACTGTTGACCCCACTGTTGACAGATGGGTCTTAGACTACTACATACATCTGTCCAGGAATCAGGACAGCAGGGGGGCCAAGAGCCAGGGACTGCTGCTAGCATCTAGAATCTGGAAAAAAACAGGAAAAGAGTTCTCAGCCCACTCATTAAGATTTTAGCTAAGCACTGATCTGATATCTAAAGTATATCAAGAATATAGGCTTTTTTTTTTCTTTAGGAAATCATCTAGTACCTACGCCTAAATATAAAACACTTTTCTCTTTGGAAAAACAAAAATGGAATGCACCGTGCTGATGCTTTGGTTGTTCATTCCAGGAAACCTGTGTCAGACTTATTTACCTACAGTATTGTAACATCATCAATTTGTGCTGTTTAAAACACTACCTCTGTGATCATTGGTCATGGCAGCAAACGCAAATGCCTTCCCAATCCAGTGAGAAAAGAATTTCCAACTGATTACTCTATTCAGACATCCTGGTAATTATGTCTAAGTTTCAAGACACATCCATACAGTCAGGGTCTCAAAAGAAATGAGGCCTTCTATATCTTTTGTTGGAAAATCACTAGAAGACTAAGTTGTCTGAAACAAGTGAGTAAATCAGAAAAGTGGAAGCCAAAACTCTGGGTGTAACCCTGGAGAGAGCAACAGGGATGGCTTGAAGAACAGGTGGCTCTGCAGGTGTATAAAGTGGTGAGCCCAGCCAACAGCTGCCTGGGGAGCGCCACGGCCCGAGCATGGCAGGAGCTGGCAGAGTACCTGATGTGTATGCCTGGATCACAGAGGGGCATCAGCTATTTTGTAAAATTGTAGAAGAGCTTGGGCTGGTTATGTGGGGAACTCAGCAAAGACACAAAAAGGCACGTTTTGACTCCAAGAAAACCAAGTTTGTTTTGAAGGGAAGCATAACTATCACAACCTGGTTGCCTCAACAGTGAGCTCTACTTAACTGTCTTAATAAGATAGCATAGGTCGCTGTGTCTCCATCTGCATTAGTTTACTCTCTTAATTTGTTTGTAAATTACAGGACACAAAGCAGATTCATTACAATCCCTGGTTGCTGGCACACTCTTGGCATTGGCCCATGTCAAAGGACCAATCCTACCTGTGAGCCCATGGCCCCCAACCAAAGCTGCCACCCAGACAATGAGCTCCATCTAACCCTACCTCTCTGCCCCCATTCCAGTTCAAATCCCTTCTTCCCTGTATAAGGTAACCAGTATCCTGTGTTTTTGTTCCCTTTCCCTTTTGTGTACTTAAACTGAGTATCTTTTTTTCTTTTTTAAAAATTTGTTATTGATGGTGTTTACATAGTTGATCAGGGTGGGAGGGGTCGAGGATCAGGGGAGAGTGGGTGAGACCCTTGTTTACATATTTTGTTCTTCTTCTTCCCATATATAGGGGAGAGGGGATACAAGAAGAGAAACCATGCCCAGATTCCCAATCGCCATATTATTACCTTGGGGTTTGGGAAACTACAACCTGCTACAATCCCAAGTTCCCCATTGTGCAGCATTTTCCGGGGGTTCTGTTCATGTATTTTCAATAGTTCTGAGATGCCACTGACATCGCCACTCCACAGATGAGAAAATCCTTCCAAGGTCGACTGGACACCACAGTTTGCCTCCAAGTCTCCACTGGCCCAAAAATCTGTTGCCAAGCCTCACTGAGGCAGCTGATCGCTGATCAACCCATTCTGCCCTCCATCCTCAGCAAACCAATGGGCACCATGGCCAGGGCCAGCCCAGCCCCATTCAACTCACACTCAGCCCCCATGCACCACAGAGGGAGCTGCAGCCCAGCCATAGCAACCCCCAACAATCCCCACTGGACCATCCCCCAGCTCTGACCCCCACACCTGCTAGCAATGTGCAGTGAACAAGTCCAGTCTGCCCCATATCCCACCAAGATCTCACATACATTACTAGGCACTGAAGCCTAACTAAGCCCAATGGATTCCACCCTCTAGCATACATCCATATCAGCAGGTGTCACCGCATATACAGCCAGGCCCATCCCCAATCTCAGCACTTGCCAGCTGATGCTGCAGCAAAGCCCAACACACCCGTTCCCATCCTGGCTCACATCTGCATCAGTGGATACAATCGGCTACCCCAGCCTGGCTCTCCCCTCAACTTGGTTCACATGTAGGCCAAAAGGTGTTGTAGCCCTGCCCAGCCTGGTCCGCCCCAGCCACAGCTCCCACACTCACCAGCATGACCACATCCCAGCACTGGAGTCCCCACTACTCCCCCACCAGGCCCAACCCCCCATCCTAGTCATGCATGTGCTGGTGGGCACTGCAGCCCAGTCCGGTGTGGCCCATGTCACCTCAGCATTTGCTAGCAGGTGCAATAACCTGGCCTGGCCTGGTCTGCTCCCATTCCAGCTCGCACTGATTGGAACTGTCGCCCAACCTGGTACAGTCAACCCCTAGTCCCGGTCCTAATGTGAACTGGCTAGTGATGCAGCCAGACCCAGCCCATCCTGCACCCCATCCTGGTTCTCAGATCTGCTAGCAGGTGTTATGAACTGGCTCACTTAAGCTGAGTCCTTGCTAGACTAAAGAAGGAGAGAATGAACAGTTATAACCCAGTACATTCTTCCCAGGAAGCAACCAAGAGCTTATTCTCTGCAAGAGATGTTACAAAACCGCATAATGCAGACTGAGCCCAGGGTGTTCTTACATGAAATACCATTTTCCCCACCTTCAGCATGTACCCAACACTGCATGTTGTTTTTTTTTTCCCCCTAGCTACTTACAATGAAAGGGAATTGAGGGGTACAGATGTGAGATGTTAAGAACCCACATCTATAGCATTGGAAGGATGGCCACATGTGTCTTCCATCTGTGGGCTATACTCCAAGGTAGCCATGCCTCCGCAGTGGATGCTGCAAGACCCTCCAAGGTCCCCAGATTTCTCCCTGGCCCCAGACACTTTGGAAGGGCTCCCATCAGCACAGAGGCCCTGGCAATGCATCCCAATTTGCGGACGTGCCAGCATTAGATGTGCTCTGCTTGCACTGCCTGAATATTCCAGCCCAGCTGGCAAGGAAAGGTCTATTTGCCTTGAAAACCTGCCCTGCTGAGTCAAACAGGCAACAGCAACATGGGAATCACTTGGGAACTGGTTTGGAAGAAGATTCTAATCAGAATTGAGTACACCAGGCAGCCACCTGATCCTGATTCTACCAAGATAGGATTCACCCGCCACAGAGATGCAAGGGACCTGGCCAATCTCCCAGAGTGCGCAACTCAAACACCAGTTGTCAGGATGGCTAACAGATTTTACTCTCCCCTCTCCCCAGAGTATCTCGTAATCAAGGAAAATCAGAGAACACTGGAATAACACATTTCATTTACACACCCCAGAACCTAGTCTCGGAGATGAGGTATTGTAAGCTGTTCAGATGTTTAGCCAGATACGTGGGTCTACTTGCTCTCAGTTTTCCCATCTGCAGTGCACAAGTAATAACACACACCTGGGAGGACGGCTGTGTGGGAGAATGACAAGGAGCTCAGTGCCCTTGCCACACAGGGAAAGTGTTCATGAACCTGTCTCCCACGCCTTGCATTTTGCTTTTAAATTTTCCTCAAGGCTCAGCAAATTACCCCATTTACAGCGGTCTGTGAAATTGTTTAGAATTTCCTAGGCTCTGAATGGTGTCAGGATAATTACACATGCAATAAAGGCTCCCATCCCACTTACCTGGTTGAAGGTTGGACGGATCCCAGACCCCAGTGGGCAGAAGTCAGGGTAGATCCATGGAAGGCAGTGCCCACTGCAGGGAGGCACTGGGGTGCTCAAGCCCCTGGGGACAGCTTCATTCTGCCCTGTCTCAGCATCCGGGTGAGGTAGCAGCTTGGGTTTCAATTGGCCATGAGGATTCCAATCACTTAAGAGGGCTGGCAGCTGGCTCGGGGAGAGGGCGAGGTCCCCGGAGAACTGGAGGTCTCTGGTCAGCTGCTTACCTCTCCATGCTTTAGCTCCTGCGTGTTAGGGTACACCATCTCCACGCTCCATCAGTCCAATCCACAGGAACTGGCCCTCCCTGGAAAGGCCACCGACAGTGACAAAAACCACAAGTTCCAAAGACAGCCCACACAGCCAAAAAGGTATTTTATTGAAATAGCAACAATTCACAATAAAGTACTTTTCACAGCACATTGGAAAAACTCAAGATTTATGAATTTCACCTTCACAGTTACAAATCACATTTTGTTCTGCAGCACACAATGAATGTGGGGAAGACAGCTGCCAGGGCTCTGACAGGAGCCTGGAGTTGAGGGTGCTCTGTGCCTCGGCAGTGTCTCGGGATGGCCTAGGAACAGAGAGAATGACACTTTCCTGGGGAGCCCCAGACCAAGGGGCTCTGCATCCTGCTGCCTGGTCCCATCCTGTCCACCAACGTCCATGGCTGTGGGACGTAGAACTGCTAGTTGGTTCCAGATATCACAAAGGCAGTGAGACCACTCAGCCTCCCAAAAGTCACTTTATAAACTTGGTCAGCAAATGTTCTAAAATATGGCAATCTAAGAAATTTCAAACACTCTCATATACAGATACTCATGGTTCTTTATACAGAGGCAGGTGATGTAACCATGTCCAGTCTCAATGAACAGCCACGAGAGCAAAGTGACAAATGACTTCTCTCCCACATCTGTTTCCCTTCACCTGTATAGCCAGACCTTACTGTCAGGACTGACCTAGGGCTGGAAGGTAATTCAAAACCAGCACGGCAGCAGCCATTGCTCGGGGTTGGTGAATCAAGCTTGATTCCACCTGACACATCTTCCTCCCGAGGACCAGACAGAAGGCAATGAAGACATTTGCTCTGTGGCATAGAATCTAAAGACAGATCTTCCCCCAGTCTCTTCCCAACACCCTGTAACTCACTGCCACAATGGGTTCCCTAGCTGACAGGTCTGTCTCACCAGACTAGAGCTGGGACAAGGGCAAGTAAACCCCCCAAAGGAAGAAGGTGCCTCAAGGGTCCCCTAGGTTTCTCTCAGTAACAGGTGAACTGCCTTGGTGACATTTACAGCAAGTCTTCCTTCAGGAACCAGTGAGAGAAAACTATTATGGAGATGATGCAGTAAAATGGCCTATCTACACAGCGTGTGAGATGAGGTGCCTATGCACAATTATGTCCAGCGTGTTTGGGAGCCTGCTCCATCACCTGCTGTGAAAGAACAACATTCTACCATCTGCACATTTGTAGGAGACAACGAATTATGTCTTCCCATTGAGTCTTCTTCCCTGGCTCATCCCAGTGGCCACAGGCTGGAGAGAGAGCTAAGCCAGACCCTGCCCAGAGCGGATGCCAAGATGGGGCCAGTTTTGCCAATGCCCCGAGTCTTCTCTTTAGGTTCCTCTCTTACCTGTTCTTCAACCCTTGGAAGTGAGCTCAGACTCTGCTCTGCATCTGTTTCTAGCTGATCCACAGAATCTAAATGGAAAAATGTACTTTATAAACACACGCACATACACACAGCTACAAGTAAATCTGTAACAGAAGTTGTGACAAACAGGTCAATAATGGGGTGCTTTTCTGAATTTTTCAAAGTGGCAATCATCATTTCTCTTTCCTTTAAGGAGCCCCAACTTGTCTTTTCTTGTCCCACATAGGGTCGAGGCCTCTAACGAAGTGATTCATCCTGGTCCAATGAGTTCACAAAGTAAGACATCAAAGCCTCCCTGCTGGCATCTCCCTGCCAGGTGCGCCTGCACCCAGGAGAGCCCTGTGCATCTGGGGCAGCCACATCTGAAGCAGGACTCAGGGATGTGCGCTGAGGCACGCTGGCATGCACAGCAGCTGGCTGATGTGAGCAGGTGGCTAACCCACTCGGCTTCCCCCAGTACTCTGGCTTGAGGCTCCAGGGCGCTATGCCTTTCACAAAGGAACTGATAAACACACATTAGTTGACAGCTGTCTTTACTGTTCCGGGTGATTTCTGAGGCACATAAGAGTCCTACAGTTCCGTGGAAACTTGATTGCAGAACTGTGAAGATGGCATGAGAAAGCAAGCTTTGCAGAGCCTCAGTCAGAGACAGATCCTCCCTGGCCCTCTTTGCAACACCCTCTAACTCATGGCAACAATGGGTTCCACCGATGACAGGTCTGTCTTCCCAGACTGCAGCTGGGATTGGGCCAGTGGAGCCCTCCGGCCATGGCTCTTCTCTGTCCAGGCCACTCGGAAGGCAGGCACTGGGGAGGGCGGCCTGTCCTCCTGAGGTTTGGGTACTCGTTGGCACATGCTCAGTAAGGCCTTTAGCTCCACTCTGAAATTCTCATTCAGCCAGCAGTATATGAAAGGGTTGTAGCAGGTGCTGCTCATGGCAAACCAGTGGAAGGCGAAGTAGAGGGCATTGTTGGTGCGGATGATCTTGCTGGACAGGAGGAGGACGTAGCAGTTGAGGGGGAACCAGCAGAGGGCAAAAAGGACCACCACTAGCACCAGCATCTTGATCGTAGTCTTCTTCTTGCGCCGCAGCGCGAGGTACTGCTCCGTGGTCACATCGCCAATCGTGTTGCACAGCCACAGCTTCTTGGCCACACGAGCGTAGGCCACAGAGATGATGAGGAGAGGCAGGATGTAAAGCAGGATGAAGGTGGCCAAGTCCAGGTACTTCCAGAAGAGGTCAGCTGGCTCAGGGAAGTCTGGCAGGCATAGGGAGCGCACAACATCCTCGCTGGGGGCAGAGGTAGGGGACAGCAAGACAGGGCGATAAGAGAGGGAGGGGTGAGTACCAAAAGGTGCCATCCCCAGGAGCACCGGCCTCTCCCTGCACCACACTCAGTCACTGACAACACTGGGACACTGTGGCCTAATTATGTGCTGCGTCTCCACTCTCTCCTAGGCTGTGGCTTCTGTAAAGCAACATGTACTGAGGAGTACATGCTCATCTCTCTGTGTCCGTTCACACTGTTCCTAGACTGTGTAGAAACCCAACAGATCTTTGCTCCATGAATAAATGCAACCCTAGAGTTCCTATTCTGAAAACCACCTCATCCATGAGAAAGCCCTGCAATGAATTCCCAGAGTGCTATTTCCCCGGACCAACAGGGAAGCCTGGAATAAAGACAATGCAGGATAGCGACGATAAGAGCACTAAAGCCAAGCCGGTGGGCCTCCTGCCACTTACAGAACACGCACTTATGTAAAATGGAATATATGGTGAAGTATTAAGCCTTTTATTGTTATGCAAATTTAAAGTACCTTATCTCAGAAACCAAACAAAAAAATCACAGAAGGGAAAAGAGAAGAGGATGGGAGCGAGGGAGGGGAGAAGGGAATATCATCCTGTTGTTAGAATTGTATCTACAAATCACATTGAAGGTGTTTAATACTAATTAAAAATTAAAACACACACACACACACACAAATGGAATTCATTCCAGTTCTCTCCTTAGGATAGCCACACAGCTTTCTGCCCTTGCTATACTTCAAAAACTCATGAAAAATGAAATTAACATGTACCAAAAAATGAAATATATCCACAGCTATTTCATAGTGCATTTTCCACAAACTTTATGAAAACCCCCTTACATGTGCTGGAGCTTTCACTGAAAAAATAAATAAATAAATAAATAAATAAATAAATAAATAAATAAATAAATAAAAATTATTAATAAAAAATAAATATAAATAAATAAAAAATCTTGCTAGCTCCCCCCCCCCAAAAAAAACACTTAGTGTCTAAATGCTGGTGATGCTGAGTGTCTGGTACCTTCCAATATTCTAGAACATGAAGACAGGACCTTAATAGATGAACAGAAACCAGCCTTCTGAACTTACTCTTCTTTAAAAAAAAAAAAAACTTATGTTATTTTAGAGGAAGAGAGAAGGGGATCTTCCATCTGCTGGTTCACTCCCCAAACAGCACCAACAGCCAAGACCGGGCCAGGCCAAAGCCAGGAGCCAGGGACTCAATTTAGGTGACCTACATGGGTGCAAGGACCCAAGCACTTGAGTTATTCATGTGGTATGTACCAGGGTGCTTACTAGCAGAAAGCTGGCACTGGAAGTGGGCCCAGAGCCTAGCAGGACATCAAGCGGCCATCCCACATCCCAGTACTGGTGTGGTTAGGCCACTGGGAGTGGTCCTCTTCCTCCGTCTCTCCTCTTTCCCCAGAAACAGGAAGAATAGAAGGGAAGGTTGGAAGCAGTTGTCTCATCCACTTTCCCCCATTACTTTTCATCCTAATCAGTGGCTCACATGGACATGCCTCCTTTTCAACTACATAAACATCATCAAAAATGAAATAAATCTATTATGAGGAACGAAAAAATAAAAAGGAAGTGGGCCCGGAATCTGAGCCCAGGCTTCTGCTGCCAGAGGCAGCATGGTACCCACTGTCCCAACAGCCCGCCTCAGCTTGGTCTTCCTGGCCTGCTCTTGTCTGGAGTGGACACACATGTATGTTTCAGGTGGTCAGTACATGGCTCTGTCTCAGACACTGGCAGTACTCTGCCTGGATTCCCTCCAATCCCCTTTCCCCAGCACCCAGCTCCTCCTGTGCACCGAAAACAGCTGGTACCTGTGACCCTCTGGGCTCACTGCAGACCCTGTGCACATATGCATCAATAGCCAGAAGAGCTCATTCCCTCCCTTGGCCCCCAGGAAGCCATGACTGACACTTGGGGAAAGAGCAAAGTCTAGCCCCCTTGCTTCAAGTGGGGCACTCCCAGCCAGGTAACGTGCAGGTGCAGCTCCTGCTGAAATCACTCCCTTCCCCACTGCCCCAGGTAGTTCTGCCTTGATAAACATCTTGCAGGTGTACCTGACTTCATGTCAGAACCTGTTTGTAAAGGAGCTTCATCTGAAACTATACAACGGCAAAAATTGCTCTAAGATTATTCAGCATCTATTCATTATACAGTTAGAGTTTGTCATGTGACGACAGTCACCTGTGATGACAGGGGCAGCAAAATCAGAACCAGCCAGCTCCGCCCACACTGATGACCTAGCAGGGAGATTCCCTTTCATGAACTTGTCCAAACTTGTGAAACCTTAGTGTTTGAAAAGGAAATTCTTGTTCTGTAGACCACAAAGAAACTTGAACGGGAGGTGGGGCTGGTAGCAAAGGCTGCCTCTGACATACACAGGAGCACATATTGGTATCTAAGTTCTGCAAGGAATTTAGATCCTGCTCCTTTTGAACAGGGCTTTGATAATCCCACCTGTTTGTGGGGGAACTCGCCCCCTGGTGGCCAAAGCTGAGAATTATTCTCTCGCCCTTGCACATCAACTGCAGAGTGAGAAAAAATAGAAAAAACTGAATAGACATGATCCTAAAACCAGAGGCTGGGAGAGGGGCAAGATCTGCTAAGGAAGGGGCTGCTTGTTACTCTAAAGTGTGCATTGGGGCCCGCTAAGTGCTGTTTGTGGAGCCCCTAGCTGCTTTCTACTAATTCACTCACCTGTATTTGAAGGTAAATAATTTCTGGCAGATAGCGTGTGGGAGTGAAAAGAATGTTGCCATGGTCCAGATGACAGCGATGTAGATGACACCCTTTGTGATTGAGATCCGGGGTTTTAACGGATGCATAATGACCTGGAAAGCAAGCACACAGGGATAGCTGAAGAAGTTTTGAAGTGAAGAACCCTGGATGACACCATTCACTTGTCATGTAAAGCAGGTGTTACTTATAAAACAAGGCACCCCTTAACTTCAAGCCTGACTGCACCAAATAGCTGGGGGTGCAAACTGGGAGTTCCAGCATCCGCAGTGTGGGAAGAGGGTGTCATCTGGATTCAAAGCTCTGGCCAGTCATCACCAGGGAGCACCAGGATGCATGGAGAGGCCAGGAGGGATCAGGGAGATCAGCCCGCAAAGCACCTGCAGCAAAGCTTGCACAGGAGCAAGCCACGAGCAGCCCCCGGCTCCTGGGCCTTGCTCCCAGCTTCCCAGGCTTCTAGAACCCTTCCGTGAGCAAGGGCCCTGAGAGGCTGTGAGGCTGAGGGACAAGGAAAGGAGAGTTTGGTCACTTAGGGAAGAGTTGCATTGTTCCTGCTTGGGACCCCATGTGAGAATGTCACTAAAATGCACTGGGGCCCGCCTCTCCTCACAAAGCCAGAGCTAAGTAAAGGCTTCAGATGGAAATACTTCTTGGAATTAACATGTATGTCAATCAATTCTTCCAAAAGGTCTAAATAAAGACTTCAGAATTTACAGGCATTCTTGAGATTTTTTTTTAACTTTCAGTGAAAGGCAGGGAGAGTGAGAAAGATCTTCCACGGATTCACTCCCGAAATGCTTGCAAGAGCTGGGGCTGAAGTCAGGAAGGAGGCTGGAACTCAATCAAGGGCTCCCGGGCGGGTGGTGGGAGCCTGAGCTGCTCAACTATCACTGGCCGCCTCCTTGGGTGTGCACTGGCAGGAAGCTGGGCAGGAAGCAGAGAAACTGAGACACGAATACGGGATCCTGAATCCTGAATGGCATCTTTACTGACCTAAGAATCATTATCTCTTCAGGGAATGGCTGAGGCCAGGGTCAAGGCGAGAAGGGCCCAGACGCTGTCAGAAGACACACTGGACATCCTGCAAGGCTGTGTCCTGCGTTCCCTCTCCGCCCCCCTTCCGTTTTATGGGAGGAAGTGATGAGGCCTCAGAAGTTGTTCAGCACTTTTTCTTTCTGGAACTGGCCATCTCTGCCCCTAAACTTCTCAAGTTGCTGAAATGGGTGGCAGCCTGGGGCAAGGCTCCAAACAGGGCCCTGGCTTTGTGACAGGACTCTGTTTTGGGCATATGTCACAGCCACATGGTCAACATGTATAAGACTTCACCACATCCTTGTTTCTCAGACACCTGCCCGCTTTGCCTCATGGATCAACTCTGTTAGCTATGCTAAGTTGGCAGATGTGAGGGGGTAAGCATAGGTCACGTGGTAATGAAGGTAGCACAAAGTCCTCCTTGTTACCAAGTGAGACAGTTAAGAAAAGAGGTGGATGGTGCAGTGGTATAGCAAGCTAATCCTCTGTGTGTGGTGCTGGCATCTCATATGGGCACTAGTTCATGCCCTGGCTGCTCCACTTTTGATCAAGCTCCATGCTTACAGTGTGGGAAAGCAGCAGAAGATGGCTCAAGTCCTTAGGCCCCTGTTCCCACATGGGAGATCCCAAAGAAGTTCCTGGCTCTCAGATTACAGACTGGTTCAGCTCTGGCTACTGAGGTCATTTGGGGAGTGTACCAGCACATAGAAGATCTTCATCTCTCACTCTCTCTGTAATTCTGACTTTCAAAGAAATCTCTAAAAGAATGTTATGAAAAGGTGGGAAATATTCACCTGTAAACTTTTCTCACTTTATACTAAAGCATCTGCAATATACACGCTGAGTTACACTCTACACAGTTGCAGCATTTCAGAGGTTAAGCTATCCCCTGGTCCAGCTTCTCATCAGGTACATGAAGCTCCTTGGAAGCATCCCCATCGCAGTGTCATCCACATGTTGCCTAACAATGGCAGGTGCCATGAGCCCCTAAGCAGGTGTGCACACCATCAAACACTCCTGTTAGCAAATTCCTGCTCCTGCTGGAAGGCAACTTGAACCTGCATCTCTGAAGCCTCCTAACTCTTGGTCACGTGGCACTATCTCAGAACCAATCCTGTATGTGTGGCCCGGTGGGCAACATGACACTAGCTTAGTGGGGTCCCTTGAGTCTTCTTAGGCCAGGGTGGGCTGGTGGCCAGGGGACGGGTTCAGAGCCAGACAGTCCTCAGTCCTACTTCTGGCTGCATCATTCACAACCTCACAAGCTTGGAAAAGCTACGTCTGAGCTTCTCTGAGCCCGGGAAGCTGAGTCAGCACTGGTCTCTATGAGCAACACAGGCCAGGCCTCATAGAAACACAACCTGCAGGTCCCCTTGGGTTCTCTCTGACATACTCACCCACAGGCTTCTGACGAGGCTGATCAGTGTGCAGCGACTTCCTGACCCCGCGGGCAATCAGGTGGAGTGTCTGCCACCTGGACACTCTAAGGGATCCCCTTCTTCAACAGTCTGGCCCCGTGACTCTCCCATGTGGGGGTCCCTCCCCAAGCTGCAATCATGCTCGGTTTCCCTTTCATGTATGACTTTCTAGGTTTTCCTTCCTTTCCCTCCCAACTCCCCAAACAAGTTCATTAATTTCTGAGATACAGAATACCAGCTGTGAATCTTCAGTGGAACACCAAATTGGAAAACTCTTTTGGCAATAACACAAAGGGTTTAGTATCGCTAAGCCGAGCGCCCACGTTAATCAATAAGGAAATAAACACATTCCTGGAAACCAAGGTAAAACTCTGAACCGGAAATCCTCCATGGATCCAGGGAACGGGAGCTAAGGGGAGAGAGGCCTGTGCGCTGGGGGAAGGCGCCCTCACCTGGTGGCGGTCCACGGCGATGGCCGTGAGCGTGAGAGCGGAGACGTGCAGGGAGCAGTACTGGGCGAAGCGGCTGACGTGGCACATGCCCTTCCCGAATACCCACGTGCTGTTCACAAAGCGTACCTGGAGAGGAGCCCACAGAGGTCAGGGGATGGGAACCACCTGTGACACCCGCTGCCCAGCCACCTTGGGAGCCCTCTTGTTGACGGTGGTGGGGACACACACACACACACACACACACACACACACACACACACGATGGCCCCAGCACATGGACACTACCTGTGACACCTGCCACCCAGCCACCCTTGGGAGCCCTCTTGTTGATGGTGGTGGGGAATCACAGCTCACGTGTGATGTTCCCAGCATAGCTGATGGTTGTTTATTTAATTCAAAAAGCTCAGAGCCTGCCTCTGGGCCAATTGTAGCCAATATACCTTGGTAAGGACTTCCAAACTTCCACTCCCGAGAGTTTCTTGCTGTGCAACCTCAGGCAATTTTGATAACCTTTCTGAGCCTTTCTCCTCAATTTCCAAAGAAAAGCTTCAAATCAGCTACACTATAGGTTTAGAGTAAGGAATGGGTTTTTTTTTTTTTTTAAGCCTGTTAAAGGAGGGATACCATACTTGGCATATTGTTGGAAAGCAGTTATTAGACATAAATAGTAACTCATTTTTATAAATAGTAATAACATTCACTCTGGCTCATTCAAGTTCAAGTCTATAAGGTGACTGTGTTGCGGGTGGGGGGGACTAACATCTTTTGGCCAAGCCAGCCTTGCAATTCACTATCTGGGAAGGAGGCGCAGGAGGCTGGAGAGGTGGGGGCAGCGGTGGGGGCATATGAGGCTCTAGGAGTAGGCCTGATCCTCCTTTCACATCTTCTACTCAATCAGCACTTGAGCAACTCCTCTGAGTGGTGTCTCTGCTCAAGAGAGAACAAGCACTGAGCTTCCAGTCTGGGCAGAGGAGGGCTGCGCAAGGCAGAAAGTCATCAGAGCCCTTCAGAGGGCCAGACAAAGGGCTAGGAGACCACTAGGAAGGGGTGGGAGGGGGGACGGAGGCAGAGAGAGAGAGAAGAGACAGCGAGAAATGGAGCAAATCAGCACAAGAGGAAAACTGTAGGTCAGTTATTTCTAGTAATTCTTGCCATCCAATAGCTGTCACCTTGAGCAAGGCACGTGTGCCCCTGAACTTGGCTTTCCACATCTGTAAAATGCAGATTAGTGATTTATTAAGTGATTTGCTATGTGATGACCCAAGCTCTCTGTTGCACATGTGGAGATGAAAACAAAGGCCCTGGGCCTGGCCCTTAAGCTCTGGGACCTGTGTGGAGCTCAAGGCATGAGTCGATGCGGCTGCAATGTGTGCATAAGGGTTTGGGACAGGTCTGGTCACATCATGAGATGAGGCCAGGAGGCCACGGGCTCTGCTGTCTTTTGGTGGGCAGGGAGGAGCCAGGGTAGGCTTTAGGGTAATCCTGGAACGTAACAGCTACACTTCAACTGCTCATCTACCACAGGTCTGCCTCTAGATGGTTTTGAAATCTAATCCCTCTTCTTCATCCTGAGGCCACTGTCCTACCACAGCCTCCTGCCAGCGTCCCTGCCCTCCTAGCTCGTCCCCTTGTTATGTTTCATTAACCAAAATTTGGACTGTGGTTACTCTTAGAACTGGGCCAGACCCCTTGGCAATACACTTGCAGCCTTCCTTGCTTCACTTTCCTCTGCCTGTTTCTTGTCTCTGTTCCCCCAGCAACACACAGCCACGTCCAGCTCCCTCCAGCCCCTGTTAATGTTGGTGTCTCAGCCCTTCTGTCTGCACTGGGTGTCTGCATTGATCTTGAGAAATTCCCACTCATCTAGGTGCCATTGCAATGTCACATTCCTTGTGAAGTCTCCTTTGATCTTCTCATGGGAATGTTGTGGGTCATCATCAGATTCCCTTTTCCAGGACCCACTACATTCTCTACCAGGCAATTATACAGCATCATTCTTTCTCTCCATGGTCAGAGCTGATCCTCATGCTGACTGTAATGTATTATGTGGATGGAAAGGGAGACTGAGAAGGAAGGATCCTGTCACCAAGCGGCCGAAGGCAGGATGCCTTGTCCAGCTAGGAGCCTGTGCTGAGCAGACAAAGACCCTCCCCACAACCCTCTCCCTCTTCTAGTTGCCAGCACCTTGTACATTCTAACAGATGTTGGGATTGGGGGAGTTCCATGGGTCAGGTTCAAGGCCAGGCTGTTTTGGTTCATGCCAGAGCAGTGCTGGATTCCTAGGACTAGACATTCTGTCTCTTGCAGGAGATTCTCTGGGGGAAAGGCTGCCAGCTCTCAGCTACAGACTGGCTTCAGGCTCACGGCCAACATGCCCTCGAGGGGTTGGTTGAGGTCCCAAACACTGCATCCTGATTCTGGGTGACAGTATAAAGACCCTGCCCTGGGGCCTTCTGGTTCCCAGAAAGGTGGTCCAGCTCAGCCTCAGCCTTCCAGATTCTTATGTCAAAAACTAAGGGAGGAGGCAAGAGGCAGTAGAGAAGTTGCTTTCTTGTGCTCCAAGGCAATGGGGGATAGGAGAAAGGCAGTAGTGGGAGACCCTTTTGGCCCGGGTTAGTGTCCAGAGCATCCCAGGAGGCCATCCATAGACTAAATGCACACTGGCAGGAAAGGAAGACAAGCCCACAAACCAAAGTGATGGAAGCCAAACACGGCCCAAAGTGTATCCTGCTCCCAGGTGTGCAGGAGACACCTCTGTACCCTGGGAGCTCACGGGACAGACCTCCGGATGTGAGCCAGGGCATGGAATTCTTACTCTGGCTCTGCCAAGGTGACCTTGGACAAGGGACTGGGCCTCTTTGTGTTTTAGTTTCCTCTTCTGTAAAATGCAAGTATTGTTAGCAAAAGTGATGACAGGAGAACGTAAGTAATTATATGGTGTGCAGTGTTCAATGTGGAAGGACATTCACACAGACAGATGGAATACCAGGCTCATTCTTTTCCACTTACTTGTCTGTCATTTCTGGGGTGTGTGTGTGTGTGTGTGTGTGTGTGTGTGTGTGTGTGTGTGTGCATGAGAGAGAGGGAACAGGTACTGCTTGGGCAATAACTCAAGTAACAAGTTACCTCACAAACTGAAAATAATATGACTCATGCTACCAACACATGCAGTGCAACTGTCATAATGATCACTGGTTCTAGCCCTCACAGTCCCAGATCATCCACCAGATTCACACTGTCTGGCCTGAGGGACAGTAATGGCACCATCCGTGCTGAGCAGCCAGCCATGTGCAATGCCTTGGGCTTGCCCCAGCACAGCCATACACAGGCTCACTGTCAAATCTCAGAAGGGAAACAGGCAAATGCACTTACAATTCCACTCATAAGTCACAGCTGCTTGACCCTTCAGTTGTCACACAAAGCAGCATCCTACGGTGGGGACAGGCATTTCCAGGAGGGAGGAGAGGTGGCTTAATAATAGCTGCTGATGCAGCTTGAGTTACTGCTCAACTATGGAGCGAGCCCACCTTCTGTGAGCTTACACAGGAAATCCTCCAGAGCAGGCTGCTGACATTGGACATCACTGACCCAGTGCCACCAGCTGCAGAAACTGATGGACAGAGGAGGGAGGGAGGGGATGAGAGAGTGGACAGAAAAGAGAAAGATGGAAATCTAAGCCATGACACTAAGAAGATAAAAGGAGATAAGGGGCAACAGAAAACAATCAAATAGACCCAGATTAAGTTTACCAAGATGAAGAGGACTGAGGCAGGGAGATGGGAAGGAGAAACAGAAAGATTTAAAGATAAAGAGAGAGAGAGAGAGGTGAGAACCTAGCCATGAGAACGAAAGAAAAGGGACTATGAAATGTGAAGACAGGCAGAGGAGTCAGGGAAATGAGAAGGAAGAGAAATAGCGGTTGTTGAGGCACTCTACGAGAAACACAGAGGATCCTGCCCGAGGAGGGGCTGCCCGTGAGCCACGCAGGGACCAGCTGGCCCCGGGACCCTCACCAGAGTGAAGGGGGTGTTGAGCAGTGTGATGAGGATGTCAGCGACGGCCAGGTTGACGATGAAGAGGCTGGTGGCTGAGTGCATCCGCTGGTTCTTGAAGATGACATGGCACACCAGCACGTTGCCAAAGAGCGAGAAAACGATGATGAAGGAGTAAGCCACGATGAGCAGGGCTTTCACGGTGGGGTTCTGGGACTCTGCTCCATAGCGCCTCCGGCCCACAAAGTTCTGCCAGTCGGAGAACGAATAGTTGTTCCAAAAGAAATGTGAGGTGTTGGCAAGGGCCGCCTCCAGGCTCTGTTCCTCCGGCCGGCCCGCAGGGGGCTCGGTGGCGCACACAGAAGGGAGGAGGAAAAGCAGCAAGAAGTAAGGGAGCATCCTGCAGGCTCCTCTGCTGGCCCTCCAGTGAGCAGCGGTGCTGCTGGCGTTCCGGGGCGTCTGCGCAGAGCAGAGCGCGTGGGGCTGTCTCTGGTGGCCAGGGAGCCCTGCACCGCCCGGCACTGCGTGTAGCAGCCCCAGCTGGAGCGTGGGGCGGTTTCGGCACTTTTCTGTCTCTCCAGGCTGCAGCCACCAGGCTGCCAACGGGCGCCTCCGCCTATTGGGCCGCACAGCAGTGACCGTGACGCTGGGGTTCTGACAAGCTTCGCTCCCGTAACGTGGTGGGCAGCGCGTTAGCTGCCCCCGCGCCCAGCCCTCTTCCCCTTGGCGCGGAAGACAGCCCCACAGTGCGGCGCGGGCTCCACCCTTAACGCACAGTCAAAGGAGGCAGGAGAGCAGGTGCAAGCCGCCAACCAGGCGAGCTCAAGTCGCGCGGCAGAGCCAGAATGTCTCCTTGTTCTAGGAGGGGGATGAATTGCCTGTGCTTGTAGCTGAGCTTTAGCCTAGTACTGACATGGCTCACCACAACCTGGTGGTTCCGAAGCAAGGCAAACAATGAAGTGGAGACCTAGAGTTTCTGCAAACTCCCGGAGCACTTGGATTTCAGACATGCCAGGGAGAGTTTCTGACAGGGAGAGTCTCTGACAGCCCCGGGAATGCAACAAGGGGAAACATTGCTTTTCTTGGAACCTCTGCCCAGCCGTTCTCTGGAAGGCTCAAAGAGTCAAAGGCAATAAGCAAGCTCGCTGTGTGTCCACTCAGTAGGGTAGTTTTGGAAGCCGTCTGTCTCTGTCAAGGGTATCATGGGCCAGGCTGGTTTTCATTCTTTACCTACTTCTCCAGATCCTTTGCTCACACTCCCACCGTGAAGCCTGTGCCTGGCACCCCTCCCCTGGCACACACTGCAGACTGACCCTGTGGTTTTAGAACCAGGATCTATTTGTAACTTCGTCACGTCCTAACTGTGAAATCATGGGCAAGTTATTTAACAATCCAGGCCTTGGTTAAGGGCAATCGTTTTCTTATTTGTGGGTTTTCCAGAGACCCTCTGTAGGAATGCCCCCATCACATTGGGCCGGCACAAGAGCTGCAGGAAGCAGTCTATGACTTGTAACTGTGCCTCTGACTCAGTCAGCTCTCTTTCTGCTGTATCATCTGACCCTGCTGACCTATGCCCTGACGCACAGACTAACCCGACAAGCCCAGATATCTTCCAAGCTCTCCCGCTTGGCCCAGGGGAAAGCTGATCCTGGGGAACAGGTCCTTCTCATTAAAAAAAAAAAAAAATCTTCCTATAACACTGGACCACAAGGAGAGATTCCTGTCACTTGCCACTTTGGACCTTTTCCCAGAACATCAGCCAGCAACTTCTACACTCCACTCCAGGCAGGCAGATCAGGTACTCTTATTTATTATTTTTTCATTGGAAAGGTGGATATACAGAGAGGAGACAGAGAGAAAGATCTTCCGTCCAATGATTCACTCCCCAAGTGAGCACAACGGGTCGATACTATGCCGATCCGAAGCCAGGAGCCTCTTCTGGGTCTCCCACGCGGGTGCAGGTTCCCAAAGCTTTGGGCCGTCCTCGACTGCTTTCCCAGGCCACAGGCAGGGAGCTGGATGGGAAGCGGACTGCCGGGATTAGAACCAGCGCCCATATGGGATCCCGGGCGTGCAAGGTGAGGACCTTAACCACTTGCGCCACCGCGCCGGGCCCCAGGTACTCTTATTAATAAGGAATTAGAAAGTCCATTGATAAGTGGAAAAACAGGGTGACAGTCCAATAGAGGATGTGTTTCTCTAGGTGGGAGGCAGAAAGGTCTTCCCAGAGTAGGTGACACTTCAGCTCACTCCCAAGAGGGCAGCCGGAGCAGGACATGGATAAAGCAGAGGAGATGGACCTGAGGAAAGGGTGCCAAGTAGCTGGACTGGGTTGTGCAAATTTAGTGGAGGGGTTGGAGCAAGAAGCCTGAACAAGAGGGCCTCATAAGCTAAGCTAAGGACTTGATGGTTTCCTGGGGGGCAAGGGGAATGTTTGGAAGGGCTCTGCGAAGAGACTGACACCATCAGGGTTGCATTTCAGAAAGAACATTCTAGCATCTACGTGGAGACTAGACAGAGCTGGGGCTTGAGGCAGGTGGGTTTGAAGGTTGTTCAAGTGACCCAGACATGGGGGTGAGATCTGAGTTAAGGTTCTGGCATGAGGAAGAGACTGCAGAGAGGACTCATGAACTGCCTTCAGTTTGATTGTAGTAAAATACACAAATCACAAAACAACTTCCTTCAAACTCAACCTGTCCTAGAGTTTTTAGCCTATCCTTCTCCATTATGTTAGGAAGGGAAGGGGGCCAGTAAAGAATGTGTTGTCAAACCAGTTACTCTTGTGGGTGACCAGAACTTAACCTTGCTTCTAAAGCTAGTATGAGCTATCCAAATCAAAGGTGCTAACAATTATTGGTTGAAGGTGAATTCCAGGAATGTGTTACCTTAAACTTTTGGTCTGCGGGCCTGGCGTGGTAGCCTAGCAGCTAAAGTCCTCAGCTGGCAAGCACCAGGATCCCATATGGGTGCTGGTTCTAATCCTGGCGGCCCCTGCTTCCCATCCAGCTTCCTTGCTTGTGACCTGGGAAAATAGTCAAGGATGGCCCAAAGCCTTGGGACCCTGTACTCCATCTGGGAGACCCAGAAGAAGCTCTCAGTCTCCTGGCTTCAGATTGGCGCAGCACTGGCTGTTGTGGTCAGTTAGGGAATGAATCATCAGATGGAAGATTTTCCTCTCTGTCTCTCCTTCTCTCTGTATATCTAACTTTTCAATAAAAGTAAATCTTAAAAAAAAACACAAAAACTTCTGATATGCAACAAGGCAGCCTAAGTAGACTCCAGAGGCATACACCGGCCCTCTGGAGCTAGCAGGTAGAAGCGGACTGGAACACCCCAAAGAAGTGATGAGTGCTGACAGTATCTGCGGGTGGGTAGGAAGCCTACCTCTCTCTTTCCCAGATATTCAGCTCTCTATCCAGTCAGTCTTGGGCCTCCTGAGCCTCCTGAATTCTCAGCCCAGTCACATTAACCAAACTTACCCTGAATTTCTAAAACAACATAGTCTTAAACAAGAATGTCTCCCCACTTTACATCACACAAAGGCTGGGTTGTAGAAAGTTCTTTCTGGAAAGGCTTCACAAGTCCTGTCAATTACCATTGCCCTCATGCAGGAGTTCTGCAAAGACATAAGCTGCTCTGACAGAATGAAACAAATCCTTTTTGTATATTCTGAATAAAATCAAGGACAATGTGTATAGTCAGTACGTGCCAAATATTAATTATTTTCTACATCTCAGACGAGGAGTCATCAAGTTCATGAAAAACATCTATTATGAAAAAAACTGTGCACAAATTAAACATACCAGAGACAGATTAACATTTAACTCTCCAAATAAGACTCAAAACAAATAAGAGAAACACATTACATCATTTCACAAGTATTTTTTAAAAAATCATTATAGACAGATGATAATATCACACAGAGGCTTTGGAGACCTCATCATATCATTATTCCAGACACCCCAAACAGTTCCCCAGAGAAGACCCTACTCGGGTTAACAGCTCACCACATTCACTCCATCTGCTCCAATCATAGCGACAGAAAGGAAGAAAGAGCCACTAGTACAAGGTCAGGTACATGGTAGTTGCTCAAAATTTGTTGCAGTTGCCCAAGTTGGACATAATTTACCTGAATGATAACAGAAGCAAGCAGGCATAAACTATCAAGTATGGCTCAAGATATGCTCGAATGCAATAGAAACACAAATGTGTGGGCAGGCTAAGCCAGGACTTTCCTAGTCTGCTGGAACCTTGGGGTACAAATATATACCATATTAGATGGTAAATGGCTCAAATTTAACATCCTATTCATAACATCCTATGCATCATAAAGTATGTATAAAATTTAAAGTTAGTTATACTATGGCCTTATTAGGTAAAGTTTGGGGCTATAGGATGTCATTATTATTGGACATGTTCCCTTGCTCCCATGTACTCTGGTATACCTTCTGAGAAGGAGAACAGTTACTGTAACATTCACTATAGAAAGAACAGGTCATTTTGAAGCCTGAGGGGTTGGGGAATTTATGGTTTTAGGGCAAATGGGGTAGAACTGCATAAAACAACGTGACAGATTGTGACAGGTGCAGAAACACGGGATAAGGAATGTGCCTTGACAAGTAGTGTCTGTGTACATCCTGTGAAACGTGTTGAGGTATATCATTCAACATTTTAATGAAACACTGATGGGGTAGCTCTGGGTCTGCCTTAGTCTGCAGTCACAAGAACTGGCTGCAACCAGTTCTGTCCAGTTTTATCAGGGACCCTATAAAGACAGTTCAGCAGATATTTTTTTGCAAAAGCAATTATGATAGAATTGCAAGTTACTATGCAACAGGTAGGCAAAGACTATTATGAGCCATTAGTCTATTAGGTAGCCACAAACAGCTTGCTGTTAAGGAGAAGAGAGGGTCCCTTTCTTGTTCTGTTTCCCCATTCTTTATCATCTGCTTATCTACAATTAAGGCCACCTGAATCTCAGCTATCTTGCCCAGTGCAACTATCAAGCACTCGGGCACTCACCAAGGACTGCTAACTCTGTATCTCTACTTGCCACTTCCTGAAATCCCCAGACCTATGTTGTATTTTCACTGTCACGAAGATTCTTCCCTGTAACACACCATGCAATGAAAATTCAAAAAGCTCCAAACTAAATTCCTATGTCCTCTCTCCTCTCACCTGTTTATACTCTTCTTTTTTCTTTGTTTCTTCATCTTGGGGTAATTTAATCAATTTCATGATGCTATATATTTGAAGATGGTTTTTTTCTCAGCCTAAATTCTTTCATTCCACCAAGGGCCAGCAAAACTCTATTCCTCAAAACCAGTTCAAGGGCTCAAGATTCTGCTCTGAAGGCTCCCAGATTCCTTGATGGCCTCCGCCCCAGAACAACACCCTCTCAATAGCTAGTCATTTTGAATCTCACAAACATCTTCTCTATGCAATGGAAGGCCTACCTTCTGTGAAAATAACCATTTTCTGGTTTCATTGCTGGTTAATCACTTAAAATGAGAATTCCATTAGATCTCAGAAAGGATAAAATGATACATTTCTTCTAATTGGTAGATACATGGAATTCATGTTTCAAGGTGGTTTTCTATGGTTCTCTGAGTCATATTTCTTAGCATCAGTCCTTATTTGAGGCTCTTAATTGTTATTAAGCTACTTTTTTTCTTCTTCAGCGTTATTTCTGCTGTGTGCTTTGTTTCAAATCAGATCCTTAGAACATGAGACAGGATAATTACCATAATTTTTGTCATTGGGTTAATACTACATCTTATGGGTGGTGGGAGTGATGATTAAAATAGGCTGTACCTTTCTTATAATAGCAAATGGAACTTTAGTTCAAAGATATTTCTAGAAAGCATCCTTGGATGTTCTCCAGGATGATGCTTCACAGGACAGAAGCAGCAGCTGTCACTGATCTTACTCTCATCTGAAAAATACTTTAATAAGATTTTGATTGAATTACTCCTTGCGGCCATTAATTTTGAATGCCAGAAAAAGTTGTCATGCTTTATATTAATTTTGTATTAACTTCTTCATGAAGTTCATGCTATGATAAAGATGAATTTTAGCAATTACAGTCTGGAATTTAGCTAGAAGCAAGGAAGGCGGTGGTATTTGAAAGACGGAGATCATACCTCTTAAAGAAAAAAGCTACACAATGAGGTAAACATGTAGGGACTGCACATAAAAGTCAGAGCTTGACCCATCAGGAAAACAACCACGGAAATTATAAAAGCCTCAAATTAAAGGCGGGAGATCAACTCTCACTGAATTTTGTAAGGAAGAGGACATCGATTGTGCTAATACTAAAAGTATTCAGCAGCAGGTGCCTTCTGGAAAGCCTGTGGATCCCTATCAGTCTTTTTTGGCTCAAGGAGTAACTCTTGACACCTGCCCCTGTCAGTCAGTTAAGGCAAGCCCCAGCTATTTCTGTTTGGTTATTTATTTAATCATTTAAGACTTAGCTATTTTTATTGAAAGTCAGATTTTTGCTGAGAGAGAAGAGATAAAGAGGAAGATCCTCCATCTGCTGGTTCAATCCCCAAGTGGCCACAAAGACCAGAGCTGAGCTGACCTGAAGCCAAGCACCAGAAGC